GAAAATCATCGCTATAAATAGATGAGCATTTTTGGGTACTCTGACAATATTCTTCGTATAAAAGAATTAAATCTATAGAATGAAGATTCAGAGAGAATTTTAGGTTGTCAAATGAGCTATTAGCTCTGACATATCCTGAAAGTTTCATGAGATTTGAATACATGTAGTTCAAGATCAATTTTTGAGGGTGGGAAATCTTAAATGTTGAATATTTTCTCTAAGAAAAAAAGTTTTATAAGTAAATTTTTACTATAAAAATTCCAGAATAAGATTTTAGTAATATTTGTTTTTTTTAAATTCTTTGATTTAGACATCTAGCAAATAAAATGCGTTATACAAATGTTCAAGGGCAATCTAATATAAATCAAATTGATGCAATAGTCAGTCTAAATTAATTGAGTTTTTACTTTTATGTATAATTTTATTTTCTAGGATATGTTTGTTCTACTCGATTTAATCGGAGATAAAAGTACACTATTTGCGAATTTTTTTGATCGAACCACTGGAAAATATTATAACAGATTACAAAACATCGGTTTGTATGTCAAATATCATTAACTATTATTTCTATTGTTTTTTTCATAGAAGCTCAACTTCTTCGTGCCTATAATAATAACGCACATAAACGAACAGTATTTTCATCTCAGATTTATCCAAATTATATCCAGGATGATCACATACCATTTTTAAGTCTAGGTAACATTAAAAAATAAGAAGCACAAAATTTCTTTTCTTTTTTTTGTTTATCAAAATATATTTTTAGATGTTCCAATTCTTCATTTAATTTCTTCGCCGTTTCCACCGACATGGCATACAGCTGCTGACAATGAAGCGAATCTCGACTTTTTATCAATTACACATATTCGAAATGCAATGAAAATATTTGTTATTGAATATCTTCATTTAAATCCACAAATATGTTAATCTGTTCACTTTATTTTATTCATTATTTTGACAAAAAGATGTTCTTCAATACAAACAAATAAGGATACGCATGTTTGTTTGTGTGGTTTTTTCTGTGATTAACTTATTCGATACTTTCAGTTTTTTTTTATTTATGTGAATATATAAATAAAATAAAACTTTTTGAAATATTAACGTTGACCAAGAAATGAAAAATTTAATTCACTAAAATTGAATGAATTTAATGGAAAAAAGTTTAATGGGCCAATATCAAATATCATTGATGGAATAGTAAAATTAGTTGAACAAAGTCTACAGTTCAATTTACAACATGAATCATTTGAGTTTTCTTCAACACCACAAAAGCAAAAAGTAGAATCAGTTATACATGCATTAGGTAAACATGATGTCGATTTAGAAGTACGACGAATTGGTGTTGGAAATGATAAAATATTCTCAATAGAAAGAAAAATAGAAACAATAAATAATAATATGAAACACTTCATATTATATTGATTTTGCTGTTTGTGTTTATGATGTGTAGCAAAAACAAATCATATATTCAGAAAGAAAACATCTGTTCGTCTTCACAGAGAATTATTTTTATCAATGATGTGATTGATAAGGGTAAAAAAAACAAGGTTTTTCGTAGGACGGTCAACAAATCCTTACAAAAATATGATTTTAAAGTATCATTAAAAAAAGATAATGTGTATAAGAATTGATTAATCCATAGAGTAAAAGTTCGATTCTGATCATTTTTCAATAGAAACAGTAACAAACTACTTTAGGTTAGTGAACTAAAGAATCATTATTTATAAACTAAGTTAATATAAAGGTTTATTAATCGTTTGATCAATTAACCCTCGATATTTATACGATTCATAAAATAAACTTTTTTTTTGTAATTCGATATACATATAATATTATTTTTATTGGAAAAACAAAAACCGTAAGATAAGATTTATATTATTTTCGATCGAGAAGTGATAAATCGAGTGCACTGAAATTAAATAAATTTCAGTCAATTGTAAGTCATGGTTTAACATTAAAGTTAGGTGGACATGGGGTACAAGTAGCTTTGTAACAGTGATCATCTAGAGTTTGTGTTATGCCACAAAAACAGAATGAAGTATCCAAAATACATCCATAGGGTGGATATGATGGATCAGCATTACGTCAAAACTGTGATGGTGATGATGAAATCCAATTAAGAAAAATAAAAAAGCAACGATACTCCAACAAAAATTCTGTTTATTTTTAATGCACTGAATATTAATTAATAACAAATGATAGAATTGGTTTCAATGAGAAAAAAACACTTATCATCAAGTATCTGTTCGAATTCGCACAGTATGTCACAAAACGCGAATGATTAATCCCGTGAAATTTAAATTCTAATTAACAGATGGTATCTAACAATTAGTTGGTCATATATTATATACAAACTAGTAATTATATCGATCATTAGGCATTAAAGACAAGCCACAGCTAGACTATGTTACATATTTGACATATTGTTTATTCTTACAAGAAATCAACAATAAGACTGAATAAAATACTTGCGGTTATACTTTAAAATTTGTATTAGACGTTCCAATTTCTAAACCCACAATTTTCCATGCCTTCTATATACATTAATATGAAGCTGCTTAACCCAACATTCATATATTTAATATATTCAGTATGAGTAAATTATTATTACCACGTCAAGCAACTTTTTTTTCCCCATGTCGATCAAAATATGAGCACACTGAACATGACATGACATGACAAAAAAAAACTTGAGTATCTTGCTAAATCATACACTAATTTGCAGCGCGTTCAATGTACTGTCTGATGAGTTAATACTTGAACTTTCTAATCAGATATCATGTCTTTGAGAAAATTAAGTTCAAGTGAAAACAGTTTTTGCTATTGAACTAGCCACTGGTGTATGGGGACGACAGAGGAGAAGCGAAACGAACTCCGTTTAAAATTTATATTATATTTGCATTACTTATCCACGTCACATCTCAGTATTTTTAATTTTTCATACATCTCATTAATACAATATTATGTATTTAGATATGGTTTCAATAAAGAAAAAAAAAAACAAATAATCTATGTTTAAAAAAAATTGTAAACTCAGTCCACAATAAAACTTTTGCATTGTTTTAATTAACATGATTGATATATTTCCATTTGATTATTATTCTATTCAAGTTATATATTCGTATATGAAAAATATCAAGGAAAAATAATCTTACTTGTTCATCTTTTTCATTATTTAAACAAAGTTTTTTTCGAAGTGAATCAATTACATGTTGTGAAAATTGTTGTTGATTTTCTTCAATAAATTTTAATACATAACGATCAGCATCAATAATTACGAAACGATGTTTGAATAATTCTATTCGAGCACCAATATAAAAATCATTTGGTCCATAATAAATAGGTGCATCAGGATGACTATCTTGCAATGTAGGAAAACAGCTGAAATTAATGTAAAAAAAGGAAACAGAAAAAAAACCTGGTTTAGGTATTCGAATACGTTCAAGAAATTTTCTCGTTAAACAGCCATATCCATCAAGTGGTTTTTCATAAACAGAAATAAGATCATCAGCAAGTCGATAAACAATGAGAAATTTTCGTTGAACATCTGTTTCATTAACTGATTCCTAAATACACAATCCATTACTAATGTTTCTTGTCTGTTTATTCTTACCATTACTGCTTCATAACGTAATACACGATGCTCATTTTCCATTAATTTAATTCGATCTCTTTTTAATGGTTTTGGTATTAGATTTTTTACATTTTGTATTGTATCTTCTGGTTTACCAAACATAATATGTGGTGGTACAGGAGGTAATTGAATAGATGGTTTAATATATCTTTTCATATTAATATCAATTGGTGTAAAATCAAATTGACCAAAATTTTGATGATAAAAACTTTTTGTAAATATATCACAATCATGTAGAAAAAAACTACGATTGAATATTGTTATACGTCTACCAATAGCGAAATCTTCTGGTTTCAAGTAACATATCTTTTCTTGTTCATGTTTATTAATAAAAAGATTTACATATGATTCTAACCAAAATATAGAACAATTTACTTTTTAGAGTACAACGGATCCGTATGAAACTTTTACCACAGATAAAACATCTAAAATAACCAGACACGTGTTCGAAGAAAAGAATCTTAGATAAGGTTTTTGCAGTTTTGTTTCTGGAAAACTCTACCATTCCATAGGAACAAATCAAGTCCGCTAATGAATCCCGTCAAACTTTGTCTGATCGGACTGAAGTTTTGATGACAGATACTTGGAAGTATTCTTCAGAGGTGAAATCAGCCATTTTTGTTTTTGACCTTCCTATTCAGATTTATAAAGCCTTGAACATCAGCACTCTGGCTTTGTTGCCGAACCTTTATGTATTTCTCTCATTAAAAAGTCAATTTCTGGAAGAAACTAAACACCACCTCTGGCATATAGTCCAAGATATTTTCACAAAATGTTCAATTCAATCGAATAAAGTGAGATGAGAGTCGTAAGCAGGTTGAACGAGATGGCATCGAAAATTAGGTTTTTTGCTGAAAAAAATCATTTTTTAAAAGTTTTTCTCGAGCACGCGTTTCCTTAATTTATGTGCTCCATCTGTCCTAAAAAAAATCTCACACGGATTAGTTGTACTCTCTTCAAGAAGCAGAAATGAGCAAAACAGACGGGGGAGTATCCTTAAGAACATCGTTGTTTTTATTATTATTTACTGATATTATATGTTGAATCTTTAGGTACGATTTGTCGATGAAGATAAATTCCTATTGGATCATAACCATCATTAGCTTGATGAGTTTCTCTTATTTCTATGGTATGATCAACTAAATAAAACTGAAAAAAGACAGTTGATTATAATGAAAATTTCTCCTAAAAATCAATGTGAATTACATGAATAATAAATTTTCTCATAATTTCACATTGTTGACCTTGATCATCAAGTACAGCATAAAATCGTAAAACTTTTCCATCCATAGTATTAAATTGTTTATTGCCAACAATCGATTGTTTTGTCAATAGATCTGGTAAAATATCTTTCAAATCACTATGACCAGTTCGTTGTTTTTCTATTTCATTTTTTTCCATTAATTTTAATGTATAAGGATCCGATGGAATTAATTCAGAACATTGTAATTCAATACCTTCACTTTCAAGCCATTCCTATTACAATTAATTCTTTTTAAACATTAAAACAAACAAAGAAACTATACTCTCGTAAATTGATCACAATCACATAATCGATAAATAGTCCCATAAATAGCTAGATTTTGTCCTATGTTTAAATCACGCCAATTATATGATTCATTCTGATCATTTTTAGAAACTCGATGACGGCGAACACGCAAACCCTTGATGAAAATCAACAATTATATTTCAAAAAATAAATATCCTATTAGATAATACTTGATTAAGTGCACTATTTTTATAAGGAATTTCATAAACAGAAATAGTATCATCTTCGAGATAATAATAAATAATAACTCGTCGTACACGATAATATTCAAGTGGACTTTCATAAACTGTTTGTTTAAAATAACCATAAAATCGAAGTACCTATGATCGATTGCTTTTGTAATTTGTTGTCTTTTTTTTAAAGAATCAATTTGAAATACTTTTTTATCATAAAAAACAGTAGCTGGTACAAATTTTCGAGGTTCTTGTACTTTTACTTTACCATAGATAAGTTCAGGTTGAAAATTAGTCAATATTTCACGTTCATCTTCAGTTAATTGAACATTCGGCTTGTATGTTTGACCGATACCAAATCGAGGTAAACGAATAATTCTATGACCATTTTTAAAAGATAATGTACGTGGAACTATAAAATTAGTACACTAAAGTACAATATCACAATTTGTTGATCTATTTATTTGTAGAACATACCGTTACATCTGAAAAACGATTACCAGGTAGTAATGGTAAGTCGTTCATTTCGTTTTTATTAACTTCAAGATAACTAAAACTCTGTTGATCTTAGTTGATACGCGCTATTTTATTTTTAATTAATATCATACAAGAAACTGATTCCACTTTCATTTAATAAGGACATCAATTTTATTTTTGTATATAATATGTAGACAAAAACTTTGTGACATGAACAGTGATAGTCGATGTAAACACTATGTACAATATGATATATCATTAAAAAGATACAAAAAAAAAGATGGGCCTGACCGGGGATCGAACCCGGAACCTCTCGCACCCAAAGCGAGAATCATACCACTAGACCATCAGGCCACGTTACTTCTTCTTATGTACATTCCTTACAACTTGATCATAGATATTTATCTTAACCATCACGCAAGCGAATACTAATGACTATCATCTATTTTCATCAACTAGCTAACAAAATAAATTGCATATGAAATATTATTGTATAGAAATATAGACGTAAATAATATTGTATGAGAATATTTTTCTGTTGACATCTCGTTAAAAATACTATGAATAAATAAATATAGATACACGAATGGTAGAATTATCGACGAAATATCTACACGATGTTTTTTCGACTAAAAGAAATATGTAAGAATTTTTTCGTATCAAAGTTTTGATTCGTAAAATGTATTCATATCGCTAAAAATTAAAAAAACATGTTTTTTATAACAAAAATAAATATTTGCGTAGTAGCCTATATTTTTCTCATTGATGCATTATTGCCTTTCGACTCAATATCTATTGTGTGAATTTGTTTTTTTTTTGTCGGTATTGACCCCAAATTGACACTTAATCGTTTAGACAATACGAACCAAATATTATTTTTAAATAATAAATTGAAACAAAATCAATGTTATAAAATAATCATATAAAAAGATCTTTGTTATCAACTAGTCAACTCGAGAACAAATCCTTCAACTACTGTTACCAAGTTATATTTCGTGAGATCAATAATATGAATAATATTAAATTACATTAAATTATTAAAATGAAAATAAACTGTTGAATATTTTGATAGTATAATATATTAAAAGAGCATCGTTATTTAAATTCATATGAATTCTTCTAAAAATCAAGTTTTATTTTTTTTTCTAAATTTATTCTTAGTTGCACTATTTAATTTTTACACTTGCTATCCTACTTTTTTGTATATGTTTTACTTCGTTCATTATGCTTTTTCGTGTTATTTACATAAATATTCTAGAACGATGACAATAGATGCATAAGTCGTACATACATATAAAAAGACTTGAATAAACAAACATTGAGACATATACACTCACTCTCTTATCTCTCCATAATCAATCCGGTCAAAACATACGCTATACAAAAAAAAAAAATGAAGACACAAGAATATTTCTGTTTGATGTTTTCCATCATTTTCGAAATCGTTCTGTTACTCTCACGCACGCATATCTGCCATATTTTTGATCGTCATACAAAGAAAAACAAAAAAACACGAGACAAAAATAAGAAGAACAGTAGAAATATACACGTATAGCAAACGAGGAAAAAAACTCCAAAAAATAATATAATATATATATATGTATATAGAAATGAGGAAGTATTAGTTTTTATAGGCAAAAGATATGTTCGCTATTTTACAGCACTATATTCAAAAAGAAAAAGGAATTGGACTTCAAAAAAAGAAATGAGAGCTAAGTCTAATCTAGCTTTGGCTTTGATTATCGTGAAAAAAACAAAAAAAAATCATTTGACTTTGACAATGCGTTGCTGATTACTAAGTAAATCACGTTTGTCGAGTAATTGTGCATGTTGATCCATAACATATGAATCAAGATTTGAATCATCAACATTTGCGGTAACACTTGTTGATGGTAATGAATAAAGCACCTTCCATTTACGTTTTTTATTCTGTTTAACACCAGATGATGGTTGAGCCATATTCGGCGGCTTATTATTATTATTATTATTTTGTGCTAATGGCCGTTTTGTTTGTGGTGAAGCTTTCGGCGATGGAATTAATGGTATATGAGATTGTTGTTTATCATCTACATTTTCGATGACGACAAAGTCTGATTCGTCTTGATCCTCAATAACGATCCACGAATCACTCATTTGTTTTGGTAATGATTTGAAAGAAACATTACCAGCAGCCATCGATAGATTTAAAAGATGATTGAAAAAGTCGAAGTAAAAGAGAGAGAGAGAGAGAGAGAGGGAGAAATTAATCTAAAAAACAAAAAAAATCCAAGGATGATATAACAACATATGTTATTTTCTTCTATTTTTGTCTCATCTCGTGATGTTTCTTGTCGTCGAAGTATCAAGATGCATTTTGCCCTTTCAACGCGCAAATACAACGACAATAACAAAGCAATAACAACAACAACTTGTTTTTAGACGATCTATGATTTTTCCCCTCTGACTCGTATTTGAAAAAGAAACTGAATGATTGCTTTCTTCTTACCCGAGCAAGTAAAGACGAACACCAAGAACGCATACTTTTTTTTCTGAAGTAGAAAAAAAAAGCAAATCTTTCATATAAACGACTAAGAAATGAATGAATAATGTAACAAATCAACGAATAGTGACCATGACAACAAGATATATAGAGATTTTTTCCCAAGCAATTAAGACGGGCGATCTATATCTATATATATACACAATTTTCTTTCTTTCTCTCTCCCTCTTTCTCTGTCATTCGGTCTAGGCGAAAAGAAAAAGTGAGTGCTGACTTCTATATTTCATTGCTCGACAGATACGTACACTTTGACAACTGCTGCGGCTGTTATTGGTGGTGGCAAGACAACTGTTCGGAAGGAAGAGAGAGAAAGAAAGAAAAACGAAAGAAAGCAAAACCGACGAGCAAGCATCTGTTCTGTCGCAATTTTCTTGCCAAGCGTCTTATATTTATATATGAGGATCGTGTTGATGTGCATGCGCTGGTCACAAGGGTCCATGACGTCATTATCAACGGGCAAAGAACAGACACACACGCTGGCAACGCATGTAACGTCTATGTGATTGGGAGAAGAACAAGAGAAAAAAAGAAAAGAACCAAAAATATAAAGGGACGAATCATTTTTTTATTTCATAATGGTGGAAAGAACGGAAAAAGGAGAAAAAGAAAAAGATCAAAATAGCACTAATGTTACTGTTGTGAAAAGTAATCCATAGCTTCTCGGGCACATTCGGGTCCAATATTGAACAAAGGATGCGTATTACGCTAGAAGAAAAAAATAAAATAAAATTACCATCTATAGAATAATCTTATTTTTTATGTCTTACTAATTTATTTTCAGAATCGCCACATACAATTGATGTTTGATCTTGTCCGTCATCTTGAAATAAACTAAGGCCACTTAAACAGTAACATGTATGATAAAAATCACTACCACTAAATAAAAAATTTAATATTTACAAAAAAAAAAGAGATTAATGAAATTAATTCTTCACCGTGAATTAACTTTAGGTCGATCAGTAAAGCCACCTGTTTGATCTACTTGACAACAAAGAAGAACATACTCCTGAGCAGCAACTAAAACAAAAATTTTATTAATAAAAAAATCAATTCTTTATCAAACAAAATATTACTTGTATCAAAAAGTGGTTCATGATTTTTGTTAACATCTTAAATTTAAAATAGATGTATTTTATAAACCTAAAAATAAAAACTATCATAATAACCTTGACTTTCTCGTATAGGTTTTTTTCGTTGAACAGCTTGAATAAGTGGTAAAAGTGCACCAACCCAAAATGAATAACAGCCATCTACAAGTTTATTAGTACGACCTTGAAAACCACCTTCAAATGTCATTTGTCGATTAACAGTCCATCTCTATTTAAATAACAAAAGAATCAAAATATTTCTGAAACTATCATTTTTTTTCTTGTCGTACAAGTAAACTTTCACGATCACATATTGATTCTCTATCAAGTAATAAAAGTGTTGCATAACCACAAAATGAATATCCACCATGTGCTTCAGCACCTGGACATGCACCAAAACCACCTTCATATGTTTGACAACTAAAACAAGAGAAACAATTTTTATTTATTAACTAAAATGAATTATTTTTATCATACCTTGCTACCCATTCAGCAGTATCTTCAAAAAGTTCAGCTCGATCTTCTAATTGACATAAAGTAGCTACAGTTGCAGCACAATATGTTGCGCTAAAAAACATTGAAATAAAATATTCAATTAAAAAAGTTTATTTAATTATTTTTTACCGAATATCTGATTCACCATCAATATGAAGACTAAAACTTCCATTCAATGGATCACATATTGTTTGTAACCATGCCGATAACTTTTTACTAGAAAATTCCATAATTAAAATTTGAGATAACAACAAAAACAAGATGATTAAAACAAAATATACCGATCAATAATATTATAAGCTTTTTCGCTTCTTAATAAACAAAGAGCATTAACAGCAGCATAGGTTGGAGCTAAATGAGCTATTTGACCAGGACCACCTAAAAGAGAATAATTAATGTTTACATTCAATTATTTCTTCATTAAACAATAATAAATGTGTATTTGAGAAGTTTAGCACTCCGCTAATCTTTTATTTAACCCTTTACCCCCCATGGAGGTTCCAGAAGAGCCACTGATAAAATAACTTTATTAATACAGTACTACCCTCGCTAGTATGCAAATGGCATAATCTGATCCATCGAATGTTCTGCTCCAAGAGTAGGACGATTTGATTTATCCAGAAATCATGGAGTAGGGAAAGAAAATTGAACTACACCGTAAGAGTTGATTTTTATTCTTTGACTACAATATTGAGTGCACAGAAGGAACATCTATCTCGCGCTATTAGAATAATGGAAAAAAGACGAGAAATAAACCCATAAAAATGAACACCAAAGAATACATGCGTTTTTTAGGTGTTTTTTCAAATTAAAGCCAATTTTATTCTTGGCCATTTAATAACCTCTAATCAAATTGAATTCATCATAAATAGAGTTTCGACTTCTCATGAGTCAAGGTATCTAATATATGTATTAACTGTGCTCTTGATTTCGCCCCATAGGTCAATTGGTGGCTACATGGTCAATCATATTTCTTTGTATGTCATATTCGCTGAGTTATCATTAAAATTTTGAAATATATTTTATTTATCAAAGAACTTCTTCATCAATTAATACCACATAGAAATTCCATGAGATCTCTATTGGCTGCGAGTAGAAAGTATTTTACTTAAAAAATTTCAATTTTTTTCATTTTTTCAAAATTTTCGATTTCTTAGACTCTTTATTTCAAAGATGGAGCAATCAAAAGGAACAGTCTTTTTATCAATGGATAGCCCATGAAGTTTACTACAAAAAAGGTGCTTATCGTTTTTTAACCCGATGCTCCCTTTCTTTTCTGCAGTCGTTCTACAAATGGTCATTCCAGTGACCAAGGGAGGGTAAAGGGTTAAAATAAAACTAAATATCAGTGCTTTATCCAGCGTGAGGGTGCCGATCCTTCGAGGATCACTTGGTTCTCTCGGAGTTTATGCTTATTGTAGCATGCATTATCTATCGATGTTTCCAAAAAATAGATACTTCCCTTTCCACAGTTTTAAATCGTTCGTTGAGAAAGGACAATTTGGATAAAATACTGATGAATATTTACCTGGTAGACGTCGTCGTGTACTATTTTCACTACTACTTGATTCTCGACTAACTACTGATGAACTACCACTTGAATATACATCATCACTCTATGATAAAATATATATATGTATTCGAATAATAACTTTTTCAATTAAAGAAACAAACGGATTCTGGTATAAAAATTCCGCCATCTTTTGGTGTTGCTGAATTCCTTGTTGTATTCTTTGTTGTACGTCTTTTTTGTGTTGCTATAGTACCTGGTGGTGGTGAATCTAGACTATTATCATTAAGATCAGCTGGTTGTCCATCATCTGATGTTGAACCTGAATTATATGGATTCCCTTTTGATTTCATTAGACTAGGATTAAAGCCTTTTTTTCGTATTAATAAGAAACTAAGTTTATTTGCTTGATTTGTTTCAGCTATTGCTATAACTTTATTTAGATCATCATCATTTGTTACTGGTAAACGAAAAGCATCATCACGTGAAAATAAACATAGAATTCTATCAATTGATATTAATGTATTATTACCAAATAAATTTTCAATCGCTTTAAGTACATCAGAATAATTAAATGGTTTTGATAAACAACATGCTCTTACTTGACCATCGAGTTCAAATTTCACTGTCTAGAAGAAACAAAAAAGTATTCGATTATGAATTATTTAATATCATTTATAAAAATAGAGTTACTTGTTCTCGTGGCTTTTTTCGTTCGATGGCTTGTTGTAAATTGGCTTGAATTGTTGCTAATACATCCGATTGAGTTGCCATGATAATAATACTAATTATTTTAGTTCATAATAATCTAAAATAGTAACCATATAATTTATTATAAACAATCAAATCGGCAAATACAGTAATATGAAATTTTTATCTGTACGTTGTTGTCATATACTTTGACAAAAAGGTAGGTCGTCGTGGATTTAGTACCAGTCATAATCGAAATACAAAAGAAAAAAAAAAAAACTTCTAAAAGTCAACATAGAAATGTAAAAATTACAAAATAACTGTTCTCCATTGGTTTAGATACAGAGAGAGAAAAAAATCAAGCATTACATACTGAAATCAAATGTCGCCGTTCTATTTGTCTACTTACAAAAACACATGGAAAGACAATAGAACGCAAAAGAAAAAAGAACTTGTTCACATATTTTTCTTTGTTTTTTTTTTTTTTTTTTTTCATAAAAATTCTTTGTAATTTTTTTAACAGATCATGTCAAATTGACATTTTTTCTAATTTGTTTTTCTGATTCCTTCATTACAAAGTTTATGTTATACAAATGATTGTTGTTTGATCGTTTTATGATGATTATTGAGTTACATTTGATCTTCATGGATTTTGATAATTATTAATTTGATAGAAAATTTTTTCATATTAAATTAAAAACCTGATGATCTTCACCACTATTGGTAAATAAAAACTTATCCTGTATTGGTATTGCAAAATCAGATAATTTATATTTCGGTGATGAATTATTTTGTCTTTCGATGAACTTTTTATAATAATACACATTAAATTGACTATAGTATATAAATCAAATGTATTTTTAAATGTTAATTTTGTTTAAATTTTCATCAAATAATTTATTCTGATGAATTTCTAATACGATATCTGGACTTTCTCCTATTAAATCTTGTATAATAGTTTTTATCATAAAAAATATCATGTATTAAAATAAATAAATATTCCTATTCATTGCACGAAATATAGCTGCACAGACAACAGTAATTCAATAATCATGATATGTAATATCATGAAACTAGGTTTCTTAATTTTTAATAATTCATTTTACATATAGATATGAAGCATAAAATGCAACAAACAATATATCGAATGAAATCGTAGAAGATCATTGCGTCCGATTACTAATTACGATTATAAATATTAGTACTTCCTAAACAAAAATATAAACCTTTATGGACAACTAACTGTTTAATATAATAGGTGGGATGATCAATTGTATTGAAATTAATTTCAAGAAAACTAATGCATTCATCAAGGACCTATAAAAATCAATAACTTGATAATAAAGCAAATGTTATTGAGTAAATCTGCTTTGTTTTTGATAATATTTGATAACATATTTAAAATTTGATTATAGCCTACACTGTATTATGTTCGAATATTGGTTTTAATAGGACCTGCTATTGAAAATATTATTATAATAATTGAAAACTATGTTCATTAATAAATAATGGGATCAAATTTTTTCAGCACATAATAATTACTATATATAAATAATATCATTTAATGTATTTGTTGTGAGTATGTTAAAATGACGGTATGTTAGATTAAGTATCGTATTTATAATAATGATATTCGTCATTAATGTATCTTCTATTCTTAGATTTTGCTATCTGAATGGACAAAGAACTATTGGATATAAACTCTGACGTATGTTAAGTTGTTTTTATTTTCCCTTATCAAATAATATTATAAACATTAAAGTCATGGTTCATTGCTTTTGTACTTTTTTTTCTCTTTTGCTTTTATATCGTTGCTAATGTTCATAATTTATTATTCGTCAAACACATACTTATGTGTAGTTTTAATGTGTAGGAGCATTGCCATAGTTCTTTCTTACAATAAATATAAATAAATTCTAATGATATATCAATAATAAGAATTCTTCGTATTGAGAATTACGAAAAAAAACTTAATTTTGATCGTTTTTTTTTACCCATAAGAAATTTACTACTTTAATCAGTTTTTCTTGTATTCTTTAAACAACTGTAGCTAGAAATTCGTAGCAATTGTTAGTAGTTATTAATGAAATATACGAAATTTTCTTCATGCTAATTGTTGTGGATGTTTTCTATATGAGACGCTGTATCGTTTTATTAGTAAATAAAAACTATGTCGACCTTGTTCGGTCCTGTCGTAATGATGTTTGTGTTTATTGAAGAGTAGACAAGAAAAAAACATGTTTGTTCATGCGTACAGTCAGAAAACATGTATTAAAAATAGAACAAAAGTCTTCTGAAAAATATCTAATAACATAATACTTTGATATATGTGTGTAATTAAGTAATGTAAATATGTATATTTAATAACTGAGAAAAAAAAACGTATGATTGTACAATGAAAGATGGCCTATTCCCCATGATTGTAATCAAGGTTAGTTTATTCTCAAGGCACAGACCTATTTATAAGGTAACTTGTTTATGTCTAAATGCATACACTCATAACTTTGCTCTATTTTGTGATAGATTTAATTTTCAACGAAATGCTTCGATGAGCAAAAATGAATCCAAATAAAACCTATTCACTCGTTATGCATGGCTCGTTAAATGCAATATTATCAAATTCTCTTACTCTGTATTTTTAGAGAAATACTCTATACATTGAATTTAAATGAAAGAAAATAAAAACTATTAAACGATTGTATCAAATCGATATGAAATATAAGTTTTCTTTTTATATGAATAATGAAAAATAACGATTAATGAATAAAATCTTCATATATCTGAATTGTATCGAAAAACAAAAATGTTGAAAGATTATATTTAATTATAATAAAGGAAAAGAGTAAAAAGATCCGATGCATTGATTGTCATATCGATTATTGTTTGAATATATTTTTTTTCCGGTTGCAATAGCCGATTAATGAATTATAATACTTTTGTATCGTTTTCCGTGACAGACCTTGTTGATATACAATCAAAGATAATATATCAATGACGTCTCATTATAATATATAGGCTACTTTCTTAGCGCGCTTTTGAAGGATGATGTAAAATGGATCTATCTCAAAATAGATAGAATAAAACAATCTCTCTGTGATTAGTAGCAGCAGCAACTACGTCATATTGTACACTTTATTTCCACAGAGATTGTGCTAACAAACTTTATCTTCATCTTGTAAGAATTTGATGAAAGAAAAATGTTGCATTGATTTTGATAGATATGAAAGAAAATAAGTTTACAACTGAAGCTGTCAGTTTGCACTCTTACAAGCGTTATTCATTCATGTATTGCATGTGGATACATTCATAAATCGATATCATTCATTGAATATTTTTTTCAAAATATGTTAATAATTGTTGCGTTGAATAACCAGATAATTGATCAGCAGGAGCTCGTGTTTCATTGAAACAATTTATTATTGGCTTACGTGCCATTAATACAGCACTGAAATGTTAGTGTTATCTCTCTTTACATTTTTTTTTAAATAACTTTATTCTGATATTCAACTTTAAATAGTTGGACGTCTCGTTTTTTTTTTTCTTTATGACTTTTGACGTTAGTCAGAAGAATCGAAATTTTCTCCATAGAAAAAAAAAATAAATTGATTTCGAATTCAGTTCATATGACTTCTATTGTCAATTTAACGATGAATATGAATACTAGAAGAACGTCAACTTCAAACGGAATTGATGAGAAAAAAAGACCACTTGAATCAAATGTATTCCTTGACCTTTGTTTTACGAGTGCTTTAATTGACTCATCGATAAAGATCTCGTTAAAAAAAATGCTAAAATCAATTAGGTACATAATCTATTATGTAAGAACAGACAATGAACATGTTTGAACTGACTAATCAATAAAACCAATCTTATCTCATAGAACTATCACGAAACATCTAAGGTCACAAAAAAAATAAAATAATTTGTTTATTAACTTGTAGAAAAGTGCTAAAACTTTTATAAACTTATTCTAATTACAATAGCTTTATTCTTTGATCTAAAGAAAAAACAAAATCTCGAATTTGATAAGTATGATTTAATATCAATCTATGTTAAAGCCTATCAGGTTGGTCCCGAACTTGACCAGGTAAGAACATTTTGGACCTAACAGGTTCGTTATATGTACAATTTGATAATATAAACAAAATGTATATTGTTTTTTTTTCTACCACTATACACGTAAATTTATTTCGTTTGTCAACATGTTGATATATAATAAAATATAGACAATACCTGAATATTACAAGTCAAGAACATAATTACAAAGAAGAAATTAAAACAACAACATATTCTTATTGTTATTTTATCAATATCAATATTATGATTAGATTAAATGAGTTAATGTTGTTGTTGTACTGTCGGTATCTTTTCGTGTTGGTGTTGTCTCAATTGTAACTGTTGCACTAGTATTATCATTATTATTGTTAGTCAAACAAACTGCAGTCGATCTTTGTTGTCGTATGTTTTGTATAAGATCCTATAATAACAAATTAATGATTATCATTCGATAAAAATATAAGATTACATATTTTCTGTATCGTTTAAATAGTTACATCATATAAACAACTTATGAGCTATTTATCCTCACATATGCTTTGATGAATAAATCATCTTTTATGCCATGCACATGTTCTTCTAAATTATTTACATAAGATATTTCTATATTATAGGCAAAATTAGAATTCTGATCCTAACTAGACCTTCATCTGTCAGAATTGGAATTTTGCTAAAGATAAATTCATATCATCAAATGCTTTACTAAATATAGAATAGAATAAAACGAGAGAAAAAGTATCGCATTCAGCAACAATCTTTCGCACTTGCAATTGTAACAGTAATGTTCATATGAAAAAGAATGGCAGTTTTTTGATTGACTAAATGTCTTCCAAAAACGAAGTGGTTATACAAATAAGGATGAATACATTAAAATATTTTGTCTTATAAATTGTTCAATGAAATATAAGATATTATTGAATAAAAAAAAAAAGAAAAGTTATTCTATTCAAATTTTAATTATTTTGATTCTACGAATTTATCTCTAGTTGAATTCTAATCTTGCCTGATCAAAATTCAATGAGAGGAAA